CCCCCCCGCTCCCCGCGCGCGTGCGCGTGCACGCGCCCGCAAGCGCGCCCTGGGAAGGAAGCGAGCAGAGGGCGCGCCTGCGCATGTGCGGCACGCCGCCCCGCCTCTCCTTGACCATGGGAGCCCCACACTCACCTGTCATTCCTCGAGGTCGCCCTTGCAAGTCCTGCCGCTCCTTCCCGGCCTAGTCCAGAAGCCCGACTCCACCCTTCCGGTTTTATTTCGGACGCCCCTTAAGCTTTCCCCTTGGGGAATTCCTTGCTTCCAACTTGTGGCTGCCCTTTGCTCGTTCCGTGCTCAGGGCCACCCTGGGGCACCATCATGCCTTCTTTTTCGCCAGCGACTGTTTCGTGGGCATCTCTCCTTCCTGGGGATCCAATGATTAACGCCATGCATGAGCACCTTCCCCCCCTAAAGCTTATAGTCTGATAAAGGAGACGCAATAAATTCTCAAGGAACTCCACGTTATATTACATGGCAATAAAGAAAAGGAATGTGTGGCCAAGAAGGTCCACAGGAATCCAGGTGGGCCTTCCTGGATTCCTGTCGTACCTCCATTTCTGTGCAGAAGTGCCGCATCAGGTGATCCTCACTGTCCGGTACCTCTGCTAGAATCGGAATTTATCACTATGCTCCCCACCCGTCCTTTCTGTCTGGGTACCATGTTTCCATTTTTTTCTCTTCCATGGATAATATAACAAATTTAATCAAGTCTCTTTTCTATGCAGTGAAAATGTTGCTTTTCTGTTTGGTGTTGAGAGAAATATCTTATTTGTATTTTTTTTTTTTTTTTTTTCCGAGACAGAGTTTCTCTGTGTAACAGCCCTGGCTGTCCTGGAACTCACTCTGTAGACCAGGCTGACCTCAAACTCACAGAGATCCACCTGCCTCTGCTTCCCAGGTGCTGACTGGGATTAGAGGCATACAGTCACTACTGCCTGGCTTATCGCTTGGTTGTATTGACTTTAAAAATCTTTTTTTTTTTTTTTTCTTGGCCAGGCGGTGGTGGCACACGCCTTTAATCCCAGCACTTGGGAGGCAGAGACAGGCGGATCCCTGTGAGTTCGAGGCCAGTCTGGTCTATACAGCAAGTTCCAGGCCAGCCAGGGGCTGCGAGGTGAGAACTTGTCTCCTGTCTCAAAACAAATGAACAAACTTTTAGAATAGAAAAAAGAAAAGAATCAGTTTTACTTCTAAAATTTATTATTATTAGAGAGAGAGAATATGTGTTCACCATGGTGCTTGAGTGGAAGCCAGAGGACTTTAAGACATTGGTTATTTCCTTGTACTGTGGAGTCCTGGGATTGAACTCAGGCTGTTAGTCTTGCCTAGCAAGTATTTTTACCTGCTGAGCCACCTCAAAGCCCCAAAGCACCCATTTTAAGGGCCTGTATATGCTAAGCAATAGGTTATCACAGTAGCTTTGCCCTAGCTTTGCCAGAGATGGACACCTGTGAAGGAAGGGTCTTGGTAGGCTTTGCCTGAGGGTTTTTTTTTTTTCCAGGAAGTTGAAGGCAGCATCTGTCTATCTCAAGCTGAGGTCATAGACCCCCTAGGCTTAGGCAAGCATCTGCTAGCTGACCTGTTGCCCACAGATGGACAAGACTCCACCCTCGGAAGGTATTTCCCCTGCCCTTCCCGAGCGTGCACACTCTGAAGAGCCGAAGTTTGGTTGGGGAAGTGCAGATGACTGGTTTGTACTTGCTTTTCTTGCTTTAGTCACCTTTGCCCAATCCTTAGACTCTTTCCTTCTTCATCCCATAAATATTCCTGAATCCTGTGCTCAGAGAAGTGGGTTTTATATTCCTCTTCCGGTCTCCATGCTGGGCCGCCCAAGGAACAGACTTGAGAAAATAAGGTCAGGTCAGAACATCTGCAAACTTCGCGTATATCACCCTACCAAGCAAACATCCCATTCCCCAACACAATTATTTCTAGGAATAAAAATCCTTAAATATGGACATGGTGAGTCATGCCTGGGCCTTCAGAAGCTGGGCAGGAGGATCACTGTGAGTTTGAGACTAGCCTGGGCTAAATACTAAGCTCAGGATAGCCTGGGCTGCAGTACGAGAACCTGCCCCAAATCAGTAACAACAAATAAATATTTTAATTATATAATTTCACACACACACACACACACACACACACACACACACACACACACACACACACTCATACACACAATTATATATTTGACATTAGTTTTCAGAAGCATCTTTCAAAGTAACAGAAAGGAAATGAGAAGTGTGTACATGAGCCAGTATATGAATGAGTGATTTACAGGCCTGAGTGCAGGCACGTACATCACACATTGGAACTGGAAGAGCAAGTGCTCTTAACTACTGAGACATCTCTCCAGGCCCCCAAATCAGATTTCTTATGGGCAGTAAACTTCAAGATAGTACAGACATTCTCTATCACATATTCCAATGTTTTAACATTAATGTTTTTGAACTAAAATAACACATATACAGAAGTTAAAATGTGTGTATAGGGTATAGGGATGTAGCTCTGTTGATAGTGTACTTTCTTAACATTCACTAAACCCGGGGACTCATCCTCAGCACTGGATATGGTGGTGGTAATTATGTTCTCAGCACTCAGGAGGTAGAGGCAGGAGGAACAGAGGTTTAGGATATCCTTGGAGCTATGTATATTATGTAGCAAGTCTGAAGCTAGCTTGGACTATATTCTGACACTCGGTTTGTAGTTACGCTGGATATTGGAGCATGAAAGGAACTGTCATTATTTTGAAGATATCCATCTTTGTCACACTTGCAGGGTTATATTTTAAAAAGTGTGATTCCTCTTCCAGATCCTTTGTGTGTCCCATCCCCCTATCTCCCGAAGCATTAAGAGCTTCTCTTTAGCCCGTTGCTTGGAGGTTTTATAGTGATGAGCCTTGCTTTAATACTTCCTTAATGCTTTGCACTGAGCACTCATTGGGAGTAGAAAGTGGTACTTCAGTTTTAGAAGTTTTCGTTAGTATCATCTCTCATTCGTTTCCTGGGTGATTCTCTAAATTTCTAATTTAAAAAAAATTCTTAATTTTAGAAAGATTTATTTTTATTTTATGTGGATGAATATTTGCCTGTATGCACACGTACGCAACACGTGTGTGCCTAGTACCTTCCCAGGTGAGGAGAGGGTGTGGGACTGGAGTTATAGATAGCTGTGAGCCATCATGTACGTCATGGCAAATGAATCTGAGTCCCCTGCAAGAGCAGCAAGTGCTCTGATCTTCTGAACCATCTCCCCAGCTTTAATAAAAAATTAAAATAAAGAAGAGGTGCACATCCGTAAATACAGACAAACATTCATACAAATAAAGTCGATTCCCAGGACAAATGTGATAAAAGGAAAGAACCAACTCCTGAAGGTTGTTCTCTATACCCGTCACACACACACACACACACACACACACACACACACACACACACACAAATAAATGTAATGATAATGATAATAACTAACAATGGACCAACAGAATAGGCACCATCTAGTAGCTTATTGAAACACAGACTTCATATCTCTAAAACCTAAATTAATATATTTTTTTGAGCCCGCTGTGGTGGCACATGCCTCTAATCCCTGCATTCAGGAGGTACAGGCAGGAGGATTTCTGTGAGTTTGAGGACAGCCTGATCTACATAGTGAATGAATTCCAGGACAGCCAGGACTAAATGGAGAGACTCTGTCTCAAAAAAAAAACAAAACAACAGAAAGTATTTTTGGTGCTGGGGATGGGTTCTGGGGTCTCACACATGCTCAGTACATATCTACCATTGGGATACATCCTCAACTCTACACCTACGCACCTTTAATCCCAGCACTTGGGAGGCAGAGACAGGCGGATCTCTGTGGGTTTGAGGCCAGCCTGGGCTACCAAGTGAGTTCCAGGAAAGGCGCAAAGCTACACAGAGAAACCCTGTCTCGAAAAACAAAACAACAACAACAACAACAACAACAACAACAACAACAAAAAAAAAAAAAAAAAAAAAGAAAGAAAGAAAGAAAGAAAAAGAAAAGAAAAGAGAGACATTAGGCCTGGCTGCAGTGCAAATCCTAATTGATCTTAATAACAAAAACCCAGAGTCAGATATCAGGGTGAAGGCTGGGAGATCCGAGAAACAGAGCAATCAGCCACTAGAAAGACTTCTTTACCTCTAGGAATCCTCAGACTGCAAGGATCCAGTGCCATCTCCATTCTGCTTTATCATTTCCTCTCTCTGCCCAGCCATATCACTTCCTGTTTCCTCATCCCAAGTGCTGGGATTAAAGGTGTGTGCCACCACTGCCCGGTCTCTAGTGGCTAGCTCCACACTCTGATCTCCAGGCAAGCTTTATTTGTTAGTGTTGTGCCCTGGGCTCAAGATGTGCTCCCCCGACCCCAGAGACCACCAGAGACACGAACTCACCAAAATGCAAAAGCAAGGTTTATTGGAGCAGTTCAATGGACCTCGCCAAGCAGCAGGGACCTCATTGAGCACCCTGACACAGCGGAAGCTAGAGGAAGTGCCCACCCCTCTGCAAACTCAGGTTTTAAAGGCAAAAACCACAAAGATTACATACATCATTTGTGGGTGTGAGTATAGGTACAATTCTGATTGGCTCAAGTTTTAGGGACTTTCCAGAATCTCTGTGTCATCTTACTTTGTAGTTTAACTGGTTGTTTGTCAAACTTTATAGACTATCTCCGGCGTTGGGACATTCTATGGTTAACCAGTTGCTGCCAGATGGCCCCTCAAACATCCTGACTTTGTACTTTTGGGTTCCTAGGACCTATGTCAGCAGCTCTGAGAATTTTGAAACTCGGGCCTGTCTCAAGCTGGGGTGAGGGGCTTGCTTGAAATGGGGGTGCTTTGATTCTTCAGTTAGAGCACAAATAAAATATCACCACATTTCCCCTTTTTGTCTAGACTAAAAAAGAATATTATAACTAATATAAGGAAAACTATATACAATAAGTACAATAACTATATACAATATACCGGCAATAAATACATCAACAATGTCTAGTCCATTAACAATTGACAAATTCAGAGAAATGCTCTATATCTATCTTATCTTGGTGAGTCCAAAAGGTTGTAAATAACTCACTTTCTATTCTAGCTTGCATTACCAAAACTCTTTTAATGTCTCTCAAGCTTGCCTGGAGATCAGAGTGCAGAGCTAGCCACTAGAGGCCAAGCAGGCAGTGGTGGCACACACCTTTAATCCCAGCACTTGGGATCTCATGCCTTTGATTCCAGTTCTTGGGAGGAGGAAACAGGAAGTGATACGGCTGGGTGGAGGGAGGAAGTGATAAGGTGGGTTGGAGACAGGAGCTCAGCCCTTTCAGTCTAAGGATTCCTAGAGGTAAGAAGTCTTTCTAGGGGCTGACTTCTCTGCTTCTTGGATCTTTCAGCTTTCACTCTGATATCTGACTCTGGGTTTTTATTATTAAGACCAATTAGAATTCTTGCTACATTGGCCCTTTGAAACCTCAAAGCCTACCCCTCAGTGACACATTTCCTCCAACAATGTGGGAGCCCGTTCTGGGGTTCCTCGTGGCTTTACCCAGCAGGTCCAAATAGAGGATGATCAGGACCACGGGCCTGAGTGCAGGTGTCTG